GATTTTTGCTATAGGACATGCATGCTTGCCAGAGAGACAGAAAATGAGAAATCACACACACACCCCACCCCGGGAGGGTGGCCATGCCACAATCCCTTCTCCTGGGACTTTGGGCACATATGCTTATCATGTGCCTGGCATGATTATCTATTTCTTTCTTTTTTATTTTTTTTAGGGCACGCACACCCACTGGAAAGACAGAGACGGAGAGACAGGAAGTGAGAAATCAGCCCCCCAGAGGGAATGGCCATGGCGCAGTCCCTTCTCCTCCATTCTCTTCATAGGATTTTGGGCGCACACGCACACGTGCCCAGTGTGTTTTAAGCCACTAGGTCTGGGATTTGAACTGCGGTCAACCATGTGGGAGTCCAGTGACATAACCATTACACCATCTGATCCCATACTGGCATGATTTTCAAGCTGCGAGGTCCGAGACTTGGACTGCAGTCAACCATGTGGGATTGTAGCTCCTTAACCACTACTCCACCTGCTAGCCCCTAGATGAGTTTTATCATTAATTTTAGAATCACAGGGACCTGCAGATAGCATAATGGTTACATTTCTGAACTCCCAATTGAACCGCGGTTCGAGTCCCGGACCCAGTGGCTTAAACTCACGCCGGGCGCGTGTGCGTGCGTGCCCAAGATCCCAAGAGGAGAATGGAGGAGAAGGGATTGTGGCGTGGCCATCCCCTCTGGGGGGTGATTTCTAGCTTTCTGTCTCTCTCTGTCTCTCTAGCGAGTGCACGCACCCTCTGGCAAAATAAAGCTCTCAAAAAAAAGAAAGAAGAAATAAATGCAATAATGGAATCGCAGTGCCATTCAGGAGGCTTATGCGTCTCTGAAACCACCAAGTCTCCAAAAGGCCTGTATGGACGTGCAGGTACACCTGCAGATAGGGATTTGGAAACGGCCCCCTTTAACACAGGGCACCGCCTCCATTGCCAAGGACGGAGAGGCTGCACCAGCATTCCATCAGCGGCATTTCTTTTAACAACATCATCAACAGTCAATCAACAACCCTTCCTACTCGGCTCTTGAATAACCCGCCGTGGAGGAGGACAGAGCCCCACCCCCAGTGAAGATTGTCATCTTATTAGAGGGCAGTGGTGACCTATCACCGTCAGAGGCCGGGTTTGCAGAGTGCATGCCCTCTGGAGTAGTGACCTGTGAAACACACCGTCCAGATTTTTTTACAGATAAAGATTTTTGCTATAGGGCGTATGTGCTCACCAGAAAGAAAGACAGAGAGACAGAAAGCAAGAAAGCACCTCCCGGGAAGGATGGCCACACTACAATCCCTTGTCTTCCATTCTCCTCTTGGGATTTGGGGCACGCATGCACACGTGTCTGGCATGATTTTTAACCTGCCGGGTCCAGGATTTGAACTACCATCGGCCATCTGGGAGCCCAGCGACATAACCACTGTACCATTTGCCAGTCCCAGTGCCAAAATTCTTATGCAGTTGAGAATGGTCCACTCTGGCTGTGCCCGTTGAGTTGTGATACAGCTGATGAAAGGGAAAAAAAAAAAAAAATTTTAAAAGACACTAGGTATTTAGAGAAAAGTCCATGGGGATAATCCTAGACCACTGTTAAGTGACTTAAAACAAAACAAAACAAAACAAAAAACATAAGTTTTTGTTGGTTTGTTTTGGGTTTTGTTTGTTTGTTTGTTTTAGTTTTTGCGATAGGGTGTGTGTGCTCACCAGACAGAAAGAGAGAGAGAGACAGAGAGAGAAGGAAAATGAGAAATCACCCTCCGGGGGAATGACCAGGCCAGTCCCTTCTCCTCCGTTCTTCTCTCGGGATTTTGAGCACATGTGAACATGTTCCCAGCATGATTTTCAGCCACCTGGTCCGGGACTCGAACTGTACAGTCAGCCATGTGAGATCCAGCTACCTTAACCTCCATACCACCTGCTGACCTATGTGTTAGTAGACTTTTAACCTAAACCTAAATGAGCACCAGCAGGTGGCATGGTGGTTAAGGCACTGGACTCCCATATGGTTAACCAAGGTTCAAGGCCCAGACCTGGAGGCTTGCTTTCTCACTTTCCATTTCTCTCCCTCTCTGTCTCTCTCTCTCTCTGGCACACATGCCTTATAGCAAATTTAAATAATAATAATGATGATTAAAATTAAAGAAATTGAAAAAGCAAATGAAAACCTTTGCCTCTTTTTCCTTTTCATTGAAATGTAACAAACCTAGCTTGAAGCTTGGAAATAGCTTTTTTTTTTTTAATCGAAAATGACATATTGGCAATTTTATTCTTCTATTGTTTTAGTTTTACTACAGGCTCATATAATTACCAGAGATGGGAGGAGGGAGGAAATGGGGGAGTCAGAGATCAATCCCCCCAGGAAGGATGGCCACACTGCAATCCCTTCTCCTCCACTCTCCTTTTGGGATCTTGGACATGCGTACACACACGCACCTGGCATGATTCTCAAGCCACCATGTCCTAGACTCGGACCACACAGCCATGTGGGACCCAGTGGCCCCAACTACCACAGTACCTGCTGGCCCTGCCACTTTAGTCTTTGTTTGTATTTCTTTTGTATTACCTCTTGTCGTTAATTTGGAAAATACACCCATTATTTTGAACTATATAAGTCATTACCATTATGCTTTAAAAAAAAAAAAAACACATATTTGAGGGACCATCCTGGTGGTTAAGGAGTTGGGTTCAAGTGGTTTAAGTCTTGACCCTAGTGGTTTGAAAAACAGTCCCAGGGGACCAGCAATTGGCATAATGGCTATGTCGCTGGACTCCCATGTAGTCTACCATGGTTTGAGTCCCGGACCTGGTGGATTCAACTCATGCCAGGTGAGTGTGCGTGCATGCCCAAGATCTCAAGAGGAGAATGGAGGAGAAGGGATTGCAGCGTGGCCATCTCCCTGGGGGGTGATTTCTCGCTTTCTGTCTCTCTCTGTCTTTCTGGCGAGTGCCTGCACCCTATATCAAAAAAAAAAAAAAAAAAAAAAAAAAAAAAAAAACAAAAAAAAAAAAAAAATTCCAAAAAAGAAAAGAAAAACAGTCCCAACCTCAAATCCTTACAGGATGGAGAAATGGAGAAGGGATTGCTCAGCGGCCATGTCTTATCATGGGGTGGTCTCTCCCTCTCTGTCTCTCTCTGGCAAATACATGCACCCTTTGGTAAATTAAAAAGGAAACTCGAAGGCCAGCAGATGGTGTAGTGGTTATGTTTCTGGACGCCCACATGGAAAAGAAAAACAGTCCCAACCTCAAATCCTTACAGGATGGAGAAATGGAGAAGGGATTGCTCAGCGGCCATGTCTTATCATGGGGTGGTCTCTCCCTCTCTGTCTCTCTCTGGCAAATACATGCACCCTTTGGTAAATTAAAAAGGAAACTCGAAGGCCAGCAGATGGTGTAGTGGTTATGTTTCTGGACGCCCACATGGCTGACCACAGTTCAAGTTCTGGACCCAGTGGCTTGAAAATCATGCCAGGCACGTGTGCGTGTGTGCCTAAAATCCCAGGAGGAGAATAGAGAAGGGATTGCAGCATGACAATCCCCCTGGGGAATGTTTCTCACTTTCTCTCTCATTGTCTCAGTCTCTCTCTCTCTCTGGTGAGCACATGTGCCGTAAGGCAAAACCTTCTCAAAAAAAAGAAAAACTTGAAAATTTATTTTCATAGTCATCAAAGCTAAGACTGAAGGCATAATACGTAGATTCCATGACATGCAGATTCTAGTTCACTTTTTGCTTTACCGTTTCTTCTAGCTTTCTGTCCGTGGCTAATTTCATCTGAATTCATAAACCAGATCCTTCTTCCCAATGTATTTTCACATTATTTGTCTTCTCTTTGCATTTTACTTATGACTTTTACACTGTACTTGGTTATTGCCATTGTATTTATTATTTCGTCAAACTCTGTTTCATCATGTTCTCGATGAGCAAATCTTAGTCTGTTCCTCTCTTGGGTAAAGTTTCCAGGAAGGGTGACTGGAATATGCCTCTCAGCAACTTTTCCTCTATCCTATTGCCTCTGTAAGTGTTTTGTGTACGTTTGTTTTCCTTAAGTGTTCAAAGAAACACACTCCCTCTTCTCTTTCGCTAGAGATGTTTTGCACTGTCCCATTTTATCTGTCTTCTGTTTATCCGCGTCTATTACTTCAGCCTTGCAGTGAGAGAGACTATCCACCTGAGGTCGCCAGCTGAGAGACCATGGATGCACATGTGATTATTCTAGAACCTTCCTCCCCCCACTTCTGGACGTTGTCCATGGCAGTAGAGGAGTCAAGTGTTACTTACGCTCTGCAGAGATCGTGCAGGGGCACTGGGTTTGGAGTCATAAAAGACTTAGGGTCTGGCAGGCTGTGCGGCCTAGTGGATAAGGCAGCCAGATCTCACCGGCTTACCAACAGCTCAGAGTTCCAGACCCTCTATCTTGATAAACACCAGATGAGTGTGTGAGCCCCAAAATCCTCAAAGGGGGATGAGATGGAGGAGAAGAGATGTGATCGCTCTCCAGAGGACACTTTCTCCTCTCTCTGGGGACAGGGATGACTCAGGGCCAGCAGGTGGTATGGTGGTTAGGGGCAGCTGGACTCCCACATGGCCAACCGCAGTTCAAATCCTAGACCTGATAGCCTGAAACATGCCAGGCACATGTGTGCGCCCAAAATCCGGAGGGGAGAATGGAGGAGAAGGGATTGTGGTGTGGCCAATCCCCCTGGGGGACGATTTCTCACTTTCCCTATCTCTCTGTCTCTCTCCTCTCTTACACCCCCTAAAAAAATAAATAAATAAATAAAAAAGACCTGGGTTCAAAACACCCAGGGTCAGCTCCAGCTGGCATGGACCTGCTGTGCAGCTCCGGCGGGTTATTCAGCCTCTCTGAACCAGCAGGGTTACCTGCATCACGAGGTCGATGCCCGTCTGGGGTGCAGCTGTAGCCCAGGCAAAGTGCCAGCCCCGCGATGGCCCCGCCGGGACTCCGTTGTCCTCACGCGCAGGGCGGGGCCTGCCGGGGGTTCTCCAGCGGCGCCCCCAGGCCTCCAGGCTCTGGTCCCAGAGTGCACCGCTGCGCTGACCGCTTCGGCCTGCGTGGACTGGACTCGGCCCAGGATCCGGAGGAGAAGGTACGGAGGACGCTGCGCCGCCCGGAGGCCGCGGTTTTGCAGGGAATGTGGGGCGGGGCGGGCCAGGCTGCCCCAGCCGGGGACAGCTACTTCTGTCCGAGTCCCTGTCCCCGTGGGCCACACCCCGAGTCCCTGTCCCTGCAGGCCGTGTCCCTGGTCCCTGTCCTCTCGCAGGCCAGGGCTGGCACCTGACCCCTCGGGCTGCGTCCTGAGTCCCTGCTCCCCAACGCCCTGTCCCTGGTGCCTGTCCTCGGCAGGCGGAGGCCGTGTCTCTGGCTGCTGTCCCCACCAGGGCCGAGACCCGTCCTCCTCGCCTACGCGGCCTGGCAGAGTCCGTTAGGCTCCGGGGCCCGCGGGTCTCCACCACCTCCACCGCCTTCGCAGGCTTCGGGGAAGCGAAAGGAGGAGCAGGGGTGAGTAGGTGCCATCTTCTCTGCACGGCCCGGCTGGGGGTCCTGGGCAGGGAACAGACCTCAGCCCGGATTCTGGATTTCCGGATTTCCGCTCAGCTCTGGGGAGGGGATCAGCCGGGCACCGGCGCCTCCACTGCACGCCGCCCTCCACGGTCCCCGGTACAACTCGGCCCGGAGGCGCTGGTGGCCCTGGCTTTTCCCCTGGGACAGTAATTGTTTTTTTTTAATGAAAAAGTGGTGCCTTGATCACCCAGGGGCTGGGACCTCAAAGATGAAAAACACCCCTTAGTGGTTACATGGCAGAACCCCCCCCACATACACATGCACACACACACACACACGCACGTGCACACACACGACCAACCACGGTGGAGTCCCGGACTCAGTGGCTTGAAACTCACTCCAGGCTCCTGTGCATGTGTGCCCAAGATCCCAAGAGGGGAGTGGAGGAGACGTGGCCATGCCCCTGGCGGGTGATTTCTCACTTTCTCTCTCTGTCTCTGTCTCTCTCTCAGATAAGCACACACACCCTAAAGCAAAAACCCTTAAAAGCATAAAAAAAGATGAAAAACAAAACAAAACAAAAGACCCCCTACTGTCCTACTTGTAGGCAGAGTTTGGAGGTTCAAATCCCTTGAGGGCACCAGGGTGAAGCTTACCCAAGGTTTTCTCTGGTCTCATTAGAAGATGGCTTTAAAGAGACCAGCAGGTGGCGTTGGTAGTTAAGGCGCTGGACACTCCCACGTGGCCGACCAGGGTTTGAGTCCTGAATCTGGTGGCTTGCTTTCTCACTTCCTCTCTCACTCTCACCCTCTGTCTCTCTCCGATCAAACTAAAAAATAAATGGATGATTAAATAAAATAAATAATTATTTTTTAAAAAATGGCTTCAAATCAAGTAGCATGAGGGAAAGGGGCCCTGAGGAGTGTGTGGAGTTGTGGGAATGGTGACACAACCTAGCTAGGTCCGTTAGAGCAATGCGAACCCGACATCGTCTGTCGAGCGTCAGTAACCGAATATCGTGGGTCCAGACGGACACTTCTTAAAATCACTGAATCTAGATTGGAATACAATTACACAGCCGAGAGTATCGCAAATACTATAGTACAAGGGCCAGCAGGTGGCGTGGTGGTTAAAGGCGCTGGACTCCCACATGGCCAACCGCGGTTCAAGTCCTGGATCCAGTGACTTGCTTTCTCACTTTCCCTCTCTTTCTCTCTGATCAATCTAGAAAATAATAATAATAGTAATAATAATCATAATAAAGTTAAATAAAATAATTCTTTAAAGAGTATACTACAAGCAAGTATCCTCTGTGAAGCACTGATTTCATTTGTGTGTGTAGGCATATTTCTATAAACGAGGGGTGTTCAAGAAGCTCGTGGAAGGGACCAGCAGTTAGCGTAATGGCTACGTCGCTGGACTCCCACGTAGTCGACTGCAGTTCGAGTCCTGGACCTGGTGGCTTAAACTCACGCCAGGCGCGTGTGCGTGCATGCCCAAGATCCCGAGAGGAGAATGGAGGAGAAGGGATTGCAGCGTGGCCATCCCCCCGGGGGGGT